TTGATGTCAACTTGGCTGAGACATAGTCATTTTTGCGTACTCTACAAAGAGTCCATTTGGCAACCTGTTCTGGTTCCCTCCCAGGTTCATTTAAGTGGGGCTGTTTGCTTCCATTTTACAATAAATATTGCTTTCTGCTTTCACTCTACAATAAAAAAACTTTTGTTCAGTCCTCTTTTGAGTCTCTACCTTGTAATTCTTTTTTTTTTCTCATTGAGTTTATTGGTACATTTTAGGTGTACAGTAAAATTACATTCATTATTGGGATCTTGTACCTTTACATGACAGGTCTTAGTTCTCATTTTTTTCCCCTTACCCCTGCCCTCCCTTCACCCCTCCTCCCTTCCCTATTTACAAATACTTTATTTCCATTTTTTCATTTTCTTGGGTTTTTTTTCTTTTCCCTTATTTCCTTTCCCCTACCTCTACCTTGTAATTCTTTCCCGGTCAAGAGAAGAACCCACCCACCAGAGGGTAACAGAAGATAAAAAGAATGTAGTGGGAATTTTAGGATCAAAAAACACAATAGCTGAAATAAAAGGTTAGTGGGTGGGATGTACACCAGAGTGGAAGAATCAGAGGAAAGAATTACCAAACTACATGATAGAACAATAGAAATTATCCAGACTGTTAAACAGAAGCTAGAACCAAAAAAAGAAAAAAAAGAAAGAAAGAAAAGAAAAGAAGAAACAGAGCCTCAGCCCGTGAAACTATAACAAAAGATGTAATAGTTGTGTTAACAATGTCCAAGAATAATAAGAGAAAGAGAGCAGGACTGAAAATTCACACAAAATAATGACTAAAAACTTTCCAAATTTGGGAAGACACATAAACTTACAGATTCAACAAGATAAGCAAATCAACCAGAATAAATCCAAATAAATTCACATTAAGACACATTAGGTTTCTGGTAACTAAAGACAAAAACAAAAACCTAGAAAAGAGCCCCCTCAAAAGTAGATCTTACCTAAAAGGGAAAATAACTACATTGATAACACATTTCTTATTAAAAGTAATGGAAATTAGACGGCGTAATATTTCCCAGATTAGGAAAGTTTAAACTGTTAACACTGAATTCTAAACCTGGGTAAAAAGTATTCTGTGGGTATAAAGGGAAAATCTCAACAATTTATACAACCAGCCAGAAGCTGGGAGTGGTGGTGCACGCCTGTAATCCCAGCACTCGGGAGGCTGAGGCAGGAGGACTGCTACATGTTTGAGACCAGCCTGGGCTACACAGTGAGTTCCAGAGCAGTCTGCACTACACAGTGAGACCCTGTCTCAAAAAA